TAGAGCATTCGGACTGGGCCTATAGATTACCAGTCCAGTGCTGTTACCATTGCAACAAAATCTTCTCCAATATATTATGTTTAATGTTTTGTCCAAGGCAAAGAGAATGAAAGTTGTAGAGTATGTAACATAGAAGTAAGCCATTCAACCCAACTTATCAGCGTATATACGGTGTCCTCACAAATCCCTCCCTCATAGAACATAGAACAGTACAGCACAGTACAGGCCCTTCGGTCCACGATGTTGTGCCGAACTTTTACCCTAAACCTAAGGTCTATCTAACCTCCACCCCTACCTTATACTATCATCCATATGCCTGTCTAATAGCCACTTAAATGCCCCTAATGAGGCCGACTCCACTACCCTCTCCGGCAATGCATTCCACGCCCCTACCACTCTCTGAGTAAATGTACATGACTCTCTGAGTCATGTACATGTCAAGCCTCCCCTGAAATGCTACTTTGCTATTCAGCTGATATGGTACCAGGTTCCACAGTCTTAGCACTCTGTAGCTGAAGTTCTCAATGACTGTAGACTGTTCCACAGTTGGGACACTATAAGCAGTTTTGGCCTCCTTATCCACAAAGGATGTTCTAGCTATGGAGGGGGATCAAACAAGGTTTGTCAGGTTGATTCCTGAAATGGCAGAACTGACATATGAAGTTAGGATCTGTTAGGACTGTATTCACTGCAGTTTAGAAGAATGAGAGGGAATCTCAAAGAAACCTTTAAAATTCTAACAGGATGAGACAAGGTAAAAGCAGGATATTCTGATGACTGGGGAGTCACAGCCTAAAGATACAGGGCAGGCCATTTCAGACTGAGATGAGGGGAAATATCTTCAACCCAAGAGTGGTGAGCCTGAGGATTTCTCTGTCACAGAAAGCAGTTGAAGCCAAACATTGTGTGCTTTAAAGAAGAAGTCAGATGTAGCTCTTAGGGCAATGGTAACAGAACTGGATTAGTAATCTATAGACCCAGGGTAAGGGGAGAAGGCAGGAACGGGGCACTGATTTCGGTGATCAGCCACGAACATATTGAATGGCAGAGTGGGTTCAAAGGGCCGAATGGCCACCTGCTGCAATTTTATATGTTTCTGTTTCTATGACAGTGACATAACCAAACCCAAACTTCTCAGCTACTTTTCAAGTTGAGCTGAGGATCATTGGATGGTGACTTGCAGCAACAACCTTTGGCTGGCTTTCACTCTACTGTCTAGCCCAAGGCATTCAGAGGGTGAGGGACAGAGCAATTCCAGCACATCTGGTGATAAAGGTAATGGCCCACCTTGAAGAGATAATTAAACATGAGCAACAAGTTACTTACTTGGGAGGTTGCTGCTGTCTCATTGTCTACAGCTTGTGCCTTAAGCTAAACTCTCAAAGCATGGCTTCAGCCAGAATGCACACTTGGGAAAACAAATAGAGGGAGCTGCCTCATTCCAATCCCACAGTGTGTGTACATCAGGATTTAGGAAGCTGTAAAATTTATTGCACTGAAATTCTGTGGTCAAGAGGGCAACATTTTGTGTTTAATGTTAGTCTTTGACATATAAAGGCAGATGTGAAAGACGCTTATCATGGGTTTGATAATACTGAAGTAAACTTTTTATTATGTCAACCATAAAGTTTTGAAAGAACTGATAACTGGTCAGAACCTTCTGGGAGATTTGGGCCAAAGGAGACGACAGGTCGGAGCCTGAAAGCAGACTCTGTTTACAATTTCTTTCAGGAGCGAGAAACAGTGAAGAATTGAAGCAAATAGATGGCCGAGGCTTTCTCTGTAATGTAAAAAGATGGAAGAGAGGTCAGGGGAGAGAAAAGGCTAAATTGCTAATCTCTTGCAGCCTTGTAGTAACTTCTTATCATTGCATTCTGCTGGATTTTGAAAAACCAGCTCTCAGACAGTAAGATGTTACAGACTGCTCCTGCCTATTGCATATCAGCGCCATGTCTAGTCTTAATGGCCTTTCCCTGGTTATGTTGGATTCAGGAGAAAACTGTGGCTCTCCCAAAGTAATTTGCTGCAGTCCTCACCTTCAAGGACATTTCCATGAAATTTCCATCGGTTGCACCTTCTAAACCTACGACCTTTACCACCTGAAAGGACAAGAGCAGCTGATATGTGGAACACCACCTTTTGCAAGTTATCCTTCAAGCCACATACTATCCTGACTTGGACCTACGTCATTGTTTCTTCACTATTGCTGGCTCAAAATCCTGGAACTCCCTTCTGAACAGATCTGTTTTCTACCTGATCTAATAGGATTGTTAATAACTTCTGAATTTGCACTAGACCTATGGTCACCAAGAAGTTTCAGGACTATCCAAACTTTCAGAACAAGTGCAACTTTCACCCCTTCATTCTGGGTCGGATTTGAACTTGGATTTCAAAGGAAATATGTCAGTTGCTGACCCACCATACTCTTTAGTTTCCTACATCTTTGTGCACGCCTTTCCAAACAATAACATTCTGATGTGTAGTGAATTAATGGGGGGTCAGTTAGTTGGGTGGGCAGCTGGTTTGTGACGCAGACTGATGCCAACAGCATGGGTTCGATTCCCAAGATCATCATGAAGGTCATGCCTTCTCTACCTCTCCCCTCACCTGAGGCATACCTCAGTTTAAACCACCATCAGTTGTCAATGAAACAGTAACCCTATAGTTCTTTGGGACGATGGCAGCTTTGCTTACTGGAGTAAGACAGGAGTTTCAATAGTTGGAGAGCAAATTGGATATGGAGAAAGAACAGTGGGTGTGTGAATAATGGTTCTGATCTTCAGAAGATTTGGTGCAGATCTTGCTAGACCAGTTAGCATTCTCTGTCTTGGCTTAGTCTAATTCAAGACTTTAATTAACTATGCAACTTTCACAAGAAGAAATAAGAGGGTTTAATTTTAGCAAATGACTGATTTTTTCAGCCCATGAAGTATTTTTGAAGTGGAGTCACTGGTGTGATGTAGCAAGTGAGGTGGCCAGTTTTGTACACAACAAGCTCCCACAAAGAGCAAGAATAGATTGACCAGCTAATCTATTTTTTATGATGTTGATTTAAGAGGTAAATATTGACGAGGACACCAGGGGTAACTATGCTGCTCTCCTTTGGGAATCTTTTACAACCAAGTGAGCAGGCACCTTGGTCTAACATCTGACCTGAAAGCTGACACCTCTTGGAGCGCCAGCCTTAACTTTTGTGTCCGAGTCCTGAAACCACAAACTTGTTACGCAAAAGTAGACCGTTAGCAAATGAACCACAGAGGGCAATTGGGGATTTTGAAGCTATGCAGTGTAAGAATGAATGTTGCCAGTTCACAGCCCATTGGCAGCTAAAGCACAGATCGAGAATCAAACTTAACCTTAACACTTCCTCCTCAGCACTCTAGTAACTTGCTATGCCCTTGAGTCTATTTGATTGATTATTTGGATTTGGCACATGTTTATAGGCAATGTCAGTGGCACAGGCACTGCATATTTCTGATGCCTCAATAGTAGATGGTAGAATCCAGCCAAGTTCAGTGGGGACACAGAACACTAATTTTGACTAGAATGCATGCATTCTCACCATGGACCAGTGAATAAGCAACATGCTTTATCACCACTTGGAAATTAATGCATGTGTATGTTATGCTGGAACTGTATTAAATGTTTCATTGGCTGCAGCTAGAGAATTATGTGCTGTTCTGGAATGCGCATCGTATATGGATTCTATAAGAGTGCAGATAAGATTTACCAAGATGTTGCCTGGGCTGGAGAGTTTTAGTTATGAAGTGAGATTGAATAGACTGGGGTTGTTTTCCCTGGAGCAGAAGAGACGAAGAGGGGACTTGATTGAGATGGATAAAATTATGAGGGGTTTAGACGGGAAAAAAAATTCTCCTTGGTGGAGGGATTAAAGACCGGGGGTATAGATTTAAGGTAAACGGGAGGAAGTTTAGAGCGGATGTGAGGAAAGTTTTTTTTTGCCCAGAGAGCAGTGGGAGTCTGGAACTGACTGCCAGTAAGGGTGGTAGAGGCAGAAACCCTCATAACATTGAAGAAGTATTTAGATCTGCACTTGCAATGCCAAGGCATGCAAGACTGTGGGACAAGTTCTGGGAAATGAGATTAGAATAGTTAGGTGAGGCAACATCGGAGGAGTAGGAAAGTTGACATTTCGGGTTGGGACCCTTCTTCAGAGGTCCCGACCCGAAACATCAACTTTCCTGCTCCTCTGATGCTGCCTGGCCTGCTGTATTCCTCCAGCTCTACACTGTGCTATCTCTGACTCCAGCATCGGCAGTTCTTGCTATCTCTTAGAATAGTTAGGTGTCTTTTTTTTGGCTGGTGCAGACTCAGTGGACCAAACAGCCTTTTTCTGAGCTGTAGACCTGTATGACTCCATAACATTTTCACACACACACACCACACACACACATTTGTACAAAAATGTATACATGTGCATGCACTCACAAACATAGGCGAGTTATATTTTTCCTTTATCGCAAGAGGAATTGAGTCGAGAGGTAAATAATGGTGGGTTTTCCTGCACCCATGGACTGCGATGGTTCAAGAAGGCAGCTCACTGCCACCTTCCCAAGGGCAACTAGTGATGGGGAATAAATGCTGGACCAGCCAACGATGACCACAGCCCAGGAATGATTAAAAAAAATGTAATTTTGTTTTGAAGAATGTGTGAACCTCCTCCAATGACCCTTTGAGGCTTTACATTCCAAATCAGCTCTTGCAGCTCTTCTAAAAAATATTCTCTATTGCATCTTCATTTTTTAGTCAATTAATTTAAATCTGTCCCCTTTGGTTACTAACAGTGCTGCCAATGGCAACAACTTTCCCTTGTCTACGCTGTCAAAACTGTTCACAAATTAGAACGCCTCTAATAAATCTCCCCCTGAGTTTGAATGTAATTTTCCTTGTGGAGGACAGTAACTGACAATAAACCTATTCAATGTGTCTTTCTTCCCCTCTTAACCCCCTCCTGCCCCACCCCCATTCTTACATTTCAGATCCTTTTACAAGGCAAAAATCCAGGTATTGCCTGGGAGTACACATTGCCAATCGCTGCTAATGAAAGCAAGACCACTGTTCGGAAACACAACTACACCTGGGTGGTCGTGCGATCAGGTTGCTCAGCATCATGTGCAGGAGGTGAGTAACTTCCCTGTTCATCTGAAGAGAAGAAACTCTTTTTTTTTCCCCACCCCCCGAGAGGGCAAGAGACAATGGACGATTTTCTGCTGAAGAGTGTGGCTTTGGCCCTTTTGTAACTCGTAGCTCACTCAGCAAAACCAGGCCACTGTGTGTTTCCATTAATATCGTTATTGCCATCTGTAAGCCACAGGCCAGGCTTAGCATAGCCACATGACAACAGAAAATGCAATAATTTTCATCTTTTGTTTTAATCCTGCATGTGTTTCGTGTTTGTTTCTTTCAGACAATGTTTTAGACTTTACAGATCCATTGCACAGCATTCATAGAATCATAGACTCCCTGCAGTGTGGAAGCAGGCCATTCAGTCCATGGAGTTCACACCAATCCTCCGAAGAGCATCCTACCCAGATCCACTCCCTACCTTATCCCTGTAACCCTGTATTTCCCGTCGCCAACACACCTAACCTGCGCATCTCTGGACTGTGGGAGGAAATTGTGCTAACTCCACACAAACAGCCACCTGAGGCTGGAATCGAACCCGGTTCCTGGCACTGTGAGGCTGTGAGCTGTCACCAAGAACTACTGTAGTCCTTGGGGTGTAGGTACTTGCACAATGCCATTGGGAGGGAAGTACCAGGACTTTGACCCAGTGACACTGAAGAAATGGGATATATTTCCAAGTCAGGATAGTGAATGGCTAAGGGAGAAATTGTATGGGTTGATGATATTCCCATGCAGCTGCTGCCCTTGCAATTCTAACTGTCTTGTTGACTTGCTGCAGTGAACCTTGTAGATGGTACACACTGTTGGCACTATGCATCCTTGAGTATAGGTGACTAAGGGGTTAGCTGTTTAGCTATTTGGTGTGTTTGAGCTGAGTGAAAAAGATGACAGCGAAGATAAAGCGAAATTATTTTCTCAAGTGGAAGGGTAATACTAAAATGAGGAATTTTCTTTTCAGGGATGAAGCCAGGAAGGACACAGAAGATAGTGGAAATCGGAGTAAGATTTTCCCCCAAAGCGTTAGGTTAATTTAAAATTTCAAAACTTAAAATGCCATTCATCCTAATTTTAAAAGCAGAGCAAAATACAAATTAGTTGGTACTTCTTTCTCTTGTGAGTCTTCACCAGTAGAGACCACTCAGATCCTGATACAGCCCAAAATTTGCCGTTGGATGTTGTGCAGTGTTTATCCCATGTTGGTGCGCATTACAAGCAAAGCCAAGTACGTGCTTGCTGAACCATCTCTAGGGGATGAAAATGATCATTTTAGTTTGCTTTTGTCCATGAATGAATAGGCTGTCTACATGTTTGGAGAGAAGTCGCTGCTCCTTCAGAAAGTAAGAATGACTTGCATTGATGTAGCACCTCTCAGAACCTCAAGTGTCTCAGCCAGTGGAGTGCTTTTATTGAAATGATGTCACTGTTCTAACGTGAGAAATGCTGCATCTAGTTTGTGGACAGTAAGCTGCTGCGAACAGCAATCTGATGATCTCAAGGCCAACTTTGTCTTCTTCTCGATTGAGGGAAATATATTCGCCAGGACATCAAGCATAACTCTCGTGCTCCCCTTCGAAATCTTTTACGTCCACTTGAGAGGTCAGATAGCACCTCAGTTTAATGCCTTCTCACAACTCCAACAGTATAGCACCATACTGAACTCTGGGCTGGTACTCCAGCACAGCTAAAATCTCTGGATTGGTATGGAGCCCACAGCCTTTTGTTTTAGAGGCAAAAATGCTACTTATTGACAAATGGACCCGCCTCACCTGAACTTTAACCTGGTGACAGATGTTTTGTTTGTTTTCTTATTGTACTCATCTCTGCTGCATTGTGGAATGAATGACTTGAACTGGCTGGGGTGGAGAAGGATTTTCAAGGTGGCTTATAAATCTGTAAAATTACAAGGCTCCAGATTCTAAGCCGTTGTTCGGCAGGCGCTTATTAGGACATAGCTGGGATTTTATTCCTCCTCTGCCCTCTGCACCTTTTCTGAGAATGTCCGTCATGCTGGGACCTGTTTTCTCAACCACTAGCACACCCACTGATGCTACTTTCAGTCCATGCAATTGTCCTTCATGTGTAAGTGTGGACATCAGATAACATCCTTTTATTTCTACGGTTGGGACATAGCAGCTAAGCTCAGTAATGTCCATCTTGCACAGAGACGAGCACTTATTACTGAATAGTAAACTTTCAAAGGGACAAAGCAACACTGTTTGATGACTCAGAGATAGCAAGAACTGCCGATGCTGGAGTCAGAGATAAGACAGTGTGGAGCTGGAGGAACACAGCAGGCCAGGCAGCATCAGAGAAGCAGGAAAGTTGACATTTCGGGTTGAGACCCATCTTCAGAAATGTACACGTTATTGATGCACATTATGGCCAGAGGAATATTTATATTGCCTCCATGCAGAATCAGCGAAGTACTTTTATTTTCCCCTTTTTATTCCTTTTTCATGAACAAATACCCACAGGACATAAGAATCGCTGGCATGTCCAACAATTACTGCCCATCCGTCATGGCTGGTGAGAAGGTGGTGATGAGCTGCTTTCTTGATCCATTGTCAATTTCATGGAATGGGTATACCCTTGATAATATTAGGGAGGGGTATTCGGAGACAGTGAAGAAATGGTTCCAAATCAGAATTGTTTGTAACTTGAAGTAATAGTATTCAATGCAACTGTGATATACCTGGAGGTCACAGAATGGAAAACTGATTTCAAAGAAAACTGGGCAATTTCCTGCAGAGCACCTTGCTTACTGTATAACCTTTCTGTGCCAGTGGTAGAGGGAGTGAGTGTTTAAATAAAGGAATAAAAAAGGATGATGATCATGGATAAGGTACTATTCTGTTCAATTCTAGTAGGATATAGGAGGATGTCTGGCCATTTGAAGGAGTACAGAGGGATTTACAAGACTGATAACAATGATGAGGGACTTCAGGTACATAGAGACAAAAGAAAAGCAGAAATTGCTCTCCTTAAAGCAGAGAAAGTTTAAGGGGAGAATTAAGAGATATGTTATGATCCCAGTTGTTGATACTACCAGACAATTCAGATCCCAGAATGAAACCTGGCTTGGTAGATCATATAGAATAGGACAAAAAGAAACTGCAGATGCTGGATGTATGAAACACTCAAACAGAAATTGCTGGAGAAACTCAGCATCTGTGGAGAGAAAATAGAGTTAATGTTTTGAGTCCAGTGACCCTTCTTCAGATCTCAAAGCTCAGATGTGCTGAATTCTCCAGCACTTTCTGTTTCTGTGTGTTAATAGATTTTTTGTTGAGTTAGTAATTGTGCTGATAAGACACTAAAAAATGTTCATATGAGGCTGCAGGTGTTTTTTTAATAACCAAACATATGTTTATTACACAAAAGAAAGCAAGCAAAGCAACATTACAATTAGAATGACCTTGACACAAACATTAAAATGAAGCTTCAGGTCGGTTCCCAGTTCAATCCATTACAAAGACAAATTTCCAGAGAACTGATACTCCTAACTCAAGTGCAAGTTTCTACTGAACTGATCCTTCCAGTTTCTCCTCCTTGAACTGTAGAGATCATTTTATAACTCCTGTCCAAGCCTAATGATATAAAGCTTTCATAATTTTGATGACCTAAATGCCTTCATTTCTAACAACAGGAAGATGTGTCCCAAGTTATCCTGGCTTAAAAGCTGCATAAATTCAATTAAAAAACCCAATGCCACTGTAGTGACCCACTTCCTCTGAATTGAAAATTATTTATTACAGATAAACTGAAACTCTCAACTCTTGATTCTTTTCATTAAAACTCTCTGGTGTTGTCTGAACTGAACCAAGAAAAAAATTTTGAATGTGGTTATGTTAATTGTTACACACCCAAAAGCATAAACCTCTTATTGCATTAACAATCCAGGGATTCTTCCAGACCCTTTATTGTAGTCATATATGTCCATGGAACTGATGCATTGAAGTCACTGTTCCAGAATGACTTCCTGACCTTCTGACAAAAAAAACCCTCACACACTAATCCCCATCCATTTGCCTTTCTTTGCAAAACAATCCAAATTCTAAATATGAGCATATATATGACACACCTTTCATGACAATTATGAAATACTTGATAGATTAAATCAGTTTACATTGGCAGGATGGAATACTCACCATTTGCTTGGATGAGTACAGGTTCAAAAGCACTCTGGAGGCTCAATACTGTCCAGGACAAATTAGCCACTTGATTGGAACCCCATTCACTATATTCAACATGGTTCAAGCTGTGGGTACCATTTACAAGATGCATTGCAGTAACCCATTAAGGTTCCTTCAATAGCACATTCCAAATTTACAATTTAGAAGGATAAGGGCAGCAGATACATCACCAGAAAGTTCCCCTCTAAGCTGCATACAGTCCTGATGTGGAACTATATCTGTATTCCGACAATGTTGCTGGGTCAAAATTCTGGAACTCTGAGCAGCACTGTGGGTGTATCTATAACACATGGACTGTAGCGGTATAAGGCAGTTCACCACCATCTTCTCGAGAGCCATTTAGGCTGGCCAATAACTTCTAGCCTGGCGAGTGACGTTCACATCTCATGAACAAGTAAAGAAAGTAGGGTGTTGAAACAGCATAAACGGCTTTCATGTCATTGGCAAAAAAACACACAAGGAGTAGATGAGAAGCCTTTTTATTCAACTTGGATAGGTGAGTGGGCAAAATCTTGGCAGATGGAACATAATTTGGAAGAAAGTGAGGGTTATGCACTTTAACAGGAATAATAGAAGATGTTTAAATGGTGAAAGATTGCTGAAAGCTGCAGTACAGAGGGCTTTTGTGTATTGCCCTACGTTAATCACAGAAAGCTATCACCCAAGTTTGGTGACTAACTGGAAGACAAATGGACTGTTGGCTTTCATTTGAAAGGGAATGCTGCATTGAAATAAGGAGGTCTTGCTAAAACTATACAAGCATGAGTCAGAGCATACCTGGAATACTGTGAGTGACATTGGTCCCCTGGTCTCAAGAAGGATATACTAGTATTGGAGGCATCCCAGACAAGGTTTGAAGGGATTTACTTATGAGGAGAGGAGAGGTTGAGTAGGTTGGGCTTGTATTCATTGGAGTTCAGAAGAATGAGAATACTCTTTATTGAAACATACAATATTCTTTGGGGCTTAACAGGGTAGATGCATAGAAGTTGTTTCCACTTGTGAGAAAATCCAGGACGAGAGGGCATAATCTCACAGTAAAGGTCACCCATTTATGATGAAAGTAAGTAGGAAGTTTTCTTTCAGAGGATAATGAATCTGTGGAATTTATCACCACAATGGGCTGTCAAGACTGTGTCATTAAGTCTATTCAAGACTGAGGTAGTAAGTAAGAGAATTGAGGGTTAGGGAGTAATGAAGGTAAGTGGAGTTGAGGATGATCAGATCAGCCACAATCTCATTGAATGATGGAGCAGAGTGGCTTGCTTCTGCTCCTATGTCTTTTGGTCTTATGGGGTTATGATCTGGAGTTTACTGCATGAGAGATGAGTGAAAAGCCTTCATAAATTTCTCAAAGTGCTTGGAAATATTCCTGGGGTTGCGGGGGATGATTTAAAAAAAAAAGAGTATAGGGCTACAGAGAAAACACAGGGGAATGGGATTAATTTCAGAGAGATGGCACAGATTTGGTGGGCCGAATGGCCACCCTTGGTGCTGTGTGTTTCTACAAGTTTCAGGCACAGGAACCTTGCATTCTTTTCATTCTGTCCCTATCCAAGAGGATGTCGAGTTAGCTTGATGTTCTGGTACTACACCAGCAAACTCCAGAGCCGTGGAGCTATTAGTGGTGAGGACATCATCCCTCATGAGTAGCTTTATTAACTCCCAAGCTAGCACTGTAGCCTTTACATGGGCATATTGCAAACATTAATGGGAGACTGTCTTCCTTACAGGAAAAATGGTGTCCACTGCATATTGTCTACAGGACCACTTAATTCAAGTCAACTCCACCTTGTGCCACGCACAGACAAGACCAGTCACAGGATCAATCACCTGCAATACCCAGCCGTGCCCTGCAAGGCAAGTATCATAACTAAATTTGTAAGCATGTGCAAAATTACTATTTATTTTACATTAAGGTTATTGTAAGATGGCACCTCAGACAGTGCCACACTTCCTCTGTTTGAATACCGGGTGTCAGCCTTGACGATGTACAAGACTGTTGAGTGGGATCTGAGTTCACAAGCTTCTGACTCAAGTGAGACCGCCACTTCCAAGCCATGGCTGACAGCCTGTGGACACGAAAGCATGGGACCGCAGGCACAGGTCATGGGCCAGGGATCTCGCAAAGCGCACCCTGGACGTGTGAAGCCATTATGTCATGGCCTTACGTCAAACTGACTTTGAGATGTGGTACTGCTGGACATTGCAGATGCACACAGGCTCAGTTCAAAATGGATCAAGCTGATGAATGAAGTCTAGTCACTGTTGAAGATTGTAGGTGGTCTCTTTGCAAGCAACATCAAGGTTGGTGGTCTTTGAATTTGTTGCAACATGTGAAGTTAAATGTATGAGGTTTCTCTTTTATTTTGAAAAGAAAAATTTAATTAACTGGATTTGGCAGTCTGAATGGACGAGAACTGTGTTATTGATGTGCTAATGCACTGTGTCGGTGATCTGCAATAGGATCCAGAAATATCAATGTGATTAGGAATAAACTGCCTGAACGGGAATAGGGCAACCAAGACGAGGTAGCATTGTTCAAAAAAAATGGCTGACCCCAGGGACTGGTAATGGATACCATCGACAAGGATATAGCCTGTTCAGGAATGTAACCTGAGACGTCAAGGACACCTGGGGCAGGCTGAGAATGTCGATCCTGTGGGAGGTGAGCAACTACACACGGAACCTGCTCTGGTTAGCGTGAAAGGACAAAACAAACACTTGGATTTTGCCACAAAGTACCAGGGTCAGCTGGAAGGGGGTATGGCTCACCTGACTAGGATGATGTGAAAATGACAGTGTTATTTCATTGGGGGGATGGGGGGGTGGGGAAGAGGTGGGGCTGCATTTGTAAAGCGCCTTTTACGCCCTCTGGATATGAAAAATTCTCCCCAGTTGTTATAGGATACACGGCAGTCCATTTGTACACAGCGAGCTCCCACAAACATCAATGTGGTAATTAACAGGCAGTTCGTTCTTGTTCTGTGGATTAAGGGACAAATGCAGGTCAGGGCTCACCCAAAATCATGATCATCTTTTGGACTTCATCCACGAGGGCAGCCTCAAGTCAAATATTTAACGTGAAAATTGGCACCTCCACTCTCAGTGGCTGCCCTCAGTTCCTGGAGGGATATTTAAACCCACAAACCTGATATTCGAAAGTAAGAGTACTATCCGCTAAGCCATGGCTGGAAGTCAGTCACTGGAGCTGAATAACTATGAAATGGGGAGGTGATGGCCTAGTGGTATTATTGCTGGACTGTTAATCCAGAGACCCAGATAACATTCTGGGGACCCAGGTTAGAATCCTGCCACGGCATTTCAATTCAATAAATGTCTGGAATTAAAGATCTAACGATGACTGTGAATCCATTGTCGATTGTCGGAAAAACCCATCTGGTTCAGTAATGTCCTTTAGGGCGGGATCCTTACCTGCTCTGGCCTACATGTGACTCCAGACCAACAGCAATGTGGTTGTCTCTTAACTGCCCTCTGGGCAATTTGGGATGGGTAATCAATTTATTTTTATATTCATTCACGGGATGAGGATATCGCTGGCAAGGCAGCATTTATTGCCCATCCCTAAAGAGTCTGCCTAGCTAGTGATGCCCTCATCCCGTAAATGAATTTTAAAAAAAAAACAAATTCAATCTGAGTATGTCAGTGATTTGGAACAAACCTGTTCAGTTAAACCCCAGTACCATTGGGCAATGGTCTCCCCTCTACCTCCCTCTTATGGGCACCCATTGGCCTATGGAAGGCCACCCTCGCCACAAGGGCCACCCCATTCCAGACTCTTCCGTGAGCAATTCTAGCATTGGAGCTCTGAGGGAAGACCACATTCATAATGGAATGGGACCTCTGTGTTGGTTCTATTAATTGACCACCACTGGCAATATATACCCAGGGTCCTGCCACCAGCCGTGGGATTTCATCATTCACAAGAAAAAATTAGGCCATTAACTGATCTTGGTCTGCAATTCCAATGTCTCACGAGGAAATAAGTTGATAAAGTGGATGGCATGCTCACCTTCATCAGTCGGGACATAGCGTATAAAAATTGGCAAGTCACATTACAGCTGTATAGAACTTTAGTTAGGCTACATTTCGCATATTGTGTGCATCTCTGGTCTCCATGCTACAAGAAGGGTGTGACAGTGTTTGAAGAGGATACAGAAAGAGTTTACCAGGATGTTACCAAAACAGAAATTGCTAGGAAAGCTCAGCCGGTTTGGCAGTGTCTGTGGAGAGAAATCAGAGTTACCCTTTCAGAACGAGCGACCCTTCCTCAATTCTGGAATGGTTACTTGACCCGAAACGTTAACTGTGATTTCTCTGCACAGATGCTGCCAGACCTGCTGAGCTTTTCCAGCAATTTCTGTTTTGGTTTCTACTTTACAGCATCCGCAGTTCTTTTGGTTTTTATTTCCCAGGATATCGCCTGGCTTGAAGGTATTATCTATGAGGAAAATGTGGACAAACTTGGTTTGTTTTCATTTGAACTTAAAAGGGTGAAGGGGTCCTGACAGAAGTTTATGGGAGACTTTGATAAAATGGATAGTTGGAATCTTTCCAAAGGTAGAAATGTCAATTACCAGGGGACATAGGTTTAAGGTAAAAGGGGGTAATTTTAAAGGAGATGTGAGAGGCAAGTTTTGTTTTTACATAAAGGCATCAAGTGCCTGGAATGTGCTACCAGAGGAGATGGATACAACAGCAATATTTGAGAAACATCTTGTCAGACACATGAATAGGGAGGGAATGGAGGGATATGGACTCCATAGAGTCAAAAAGATTTTTGTTGTAAAAAGCATCATGTATCAGCGCAGGCTTGATGGGCCAAAGGGCCTGTTGCTATGTTGTCCTGGTTTCAGTTCTTTGTATGTTTGTAAACCAGTCTTGATGTGTGAGCGAGGACAGAGTTCCAGTGCTGCTATCCTGCACATCCCTGCACATCCCTGCACATGCCTGCCATCCTGCACATCCCTGCACATCCCTGCCATCCTGCACATCCCTGCACATTC